TTTGTTCAGCATATCTGAGTTTCCGTGAGTAATATGCGCGAGGGAAGAGTTTGGGCGGATTGCCTTGTCTTCGAGAGAGTACTGCCCCGATGCCTGTGCTGGATGCGGCGACCTCTACAATAAACTCACGTTCAGGGTCAGGATGATGTAAGATAGGGGCTGTGGTGAAGCATTCCTTTAGCTCTTGGAAGGATTTTTCTGAAGCTGACGACCACGATAGACGATGTCCTCCCCTCTTAAGCATGGAAGTTAGAGGTGTTGCAATGATGCTGAAGTTTCTGATGAAACATCTGTAAAAGTTGGCGAAACCTAAGAGCCGCTGTAACTCCTTAATTGTAGTTGGTTGGGGCCCACCCCAAGACTGCATTCACTTTGCTGTCTTCCATGGTGACTCCCTCGGAACTGATGATGTATCCGAGAAGCAAAATTGAGGTTTGGTGAAACTCACACTTCTCTGCCTTGGCGTAAAGTTGATGTTCAATGAGGCGTTGCAGAACGGTTCGGAAATGGTGAATGTGATCTTCCAGGGTGTTGAAGTAAATGAGGATATCGTCGATATACACAATGACCCACTGATTGAGCATGTCACAGAATACATCATTTAATGAAGGTTTGGAAGACAGAAGGACTATTAACCAGCCTGAAAGGCATAACGGAGTATTCATAGTGGCCCGTGGCCGTGGAAAAAGCAGTCTTCCACTCATCTCCTTCACGGATTCTTATCAAGTTGTATGCGCAGTGTAAGACGAGATTTGTGAAATACTTGGCATTACAAAGTTGCTCCAGAGCTGAAGGAACTAACGTCAGTGGGTAACGAAATTTGACAGTAATTCCATTAAGGCCTCGGTAGTCGATACAAGGTCGCAGCCCATCATCCTTTTTACTCACAAAGAAGAACCCTGCTGATGCCGGAGAATTGGATGGTCGGATGAACCCCTTTGCCAGTTCTTCCTTGATATAGTTTTTCATAGACTCTGATTCGGAATGTGACAAGAAAAAAATCCTGCCCTTGGGAGGAGTGGTACCTGGAAGCAGTTCTATGGCGCAGTCACCAGAACGATGAGGAGGTAGTTGAGATGCCTTGTTCTTACTGAAGGCCTCTACGAGATCCTTGTACTCTAGGGGTAGGGCGTGGATGGAAACTGGTTGCACTTTGGAAGTAGTGGGTTGGGTGTTCAGGACAGGAACTGCTTGGATACAGTTTTGAAGACATGAGTCAGACCATTGTACAATTTGTCTCTCTGCCCAGGAAATGTAAGGATTATGTTGTTGTAGCCAAGGGAGTCCAAGTATGATGGGGTTACGTGGTGATTTTATAAGGAACAATCAAATGATTTACGCATGTAAGGCCCCAGTCTGTAAAGATATTTTCACAGTGGTGTACTGAACGCGACCGGTCCCCAGTGGGTGTGCGTCTAACGCTGCCACTGCCAACACAGAATCACATGGAATTAAGGGAATGTTATGACTCTTGGCAAAGTCTGGGTCAATAAAGTTAGCTGCAGCTCCAGAATCAATCATGGCCGTGGCAATGATTGTTCCACCATTACCGGTAAGTACTACTAGTAATTCCATATTAGAAGAGAACTGGGACTGATAACTCACTGCCGTGGGGTTTCTTTGAGATGGACGTGTGGGACAGGATGCTCTCATATAGTGTTGTAAAAATATTGGGTACTTCGGTACCAAGTCGGTACTAAAAAATTTTAAACGTCACGGTACTAAGTACCGGTGGTACCGAGTACCCGGCCAAACCCGGTTCTGAATGCGCATACATGCACGAAGGGCGTGAAGTTGCGTCCTCTTCATGAAAGCGCTGAGACATGGCGACCGGCGGCGCTGCTGATGTGGTGTCTGTGTATATTAAACTGCAAAAAGACTATTTAGATATTAACCCTGCATGTTCTGCTTGTCTCTGTGTGAATGAACGGCGCAGACACACGGTTTCATTTAACGTTACCTCACACACACACACACACTGAAGCACGAGTGACGCTCGCGCTGTTTTCAGTCTCTGCTGCCTCACGATATGATGACATGATTCATGATTCAATTCATCTCCGGGAGTCACTTCATGAGCATTTTACCGTTTCATTTGAGAAAAACTATCGTCATATCAAATACACAAACAGAAACTCAAAGGTCTTCACGGCAACCCGTCAAAATCAAAGTTTGGTTTAACTTAAAGAAATTGACAGAAATAATTATATTAGGCTACTGTACAATAGATTTATCTACGTCTCCATTAATTAAAAATACCCCTACTACTACTAATAATGTGTGCATAGAAGGTTGCTTATTTTTCACTTGATTTTTTTATAAGCAATATTTCTCAATATTATCAATATTTTCGTTTAAACGGCATGTAGCCTTCAATGCTTTCATAAATTTACCGTCATAAATAATAGGGATGCACGATGATATCGGGACAACATCGGTATCGGCCGATAAAAGCTTAAAATGACCATCATCGGCATCGGCCGATAAAAGCTTAAAATGACCATCATCGGCATCGGCCGATATGAATATTTCTGCCGATGAGTCTTGCCGATAGGGTGGCGTGTTTCCTATGCGCACGTGACGACCGTGAACGAAGCATGAGCGCCAGCAACTTAAACTTCCAACTAGGGGTGTGCCGTGCGTCTCACGGTTTTTGATCGTGGACGATTAAAATGTCTCCACGATCTGCTTTTGAAGAAAAATCATAGTATCGTGCATTCTATCAGTTCAATTCTGGCGCCTTCATCTCAACATACTGTACAACGCGACGTTCACATCACATCACATCACATGTAAACGCAGAGGTAGAGTTACACTCACGGGACACCGCAATTCACAAAAGTTCATTGTTTGCATGTGCGTCAAAGTCTTGCTAGGTAAACATGTCATTCACGTGCTGATGCGCTGTTCTAACATCCGCTTTTCTGAGCGCGTTACACCCGACGCTCACAGGAACTAAAGCCTGTCACAGCGCCTGCATACTGGACTAATCTTTCGAGTCTTATTGCGCTGATACTGTCAAATACACACAAGGTTTACATAAACAAAGTTGGTTATGTCTAAAGTGAAAGCAAACAGAGAAAATCTGCTTGTCAAATGCGTGTATATTAGACGCGTCGCGTTACTCGCGTGCAGTTCTTAAAGAGACAGTAATAATATTCTGCCGCTTGTCTTTAAAGAGATACTGCACCCAGAAATAAAAATTCTGTCTATCTAATGTTGTTTCAAACCTGGATTCATTTCTTTCTTGTGCTTAAATATACTATGGAAGTCACTGGAGTACAGCAACTGTTTGGTTAGCCACATTCTTCCAAATAACTTTTATAATTTCAACAGAAGAAAGAAACTTGAGAGAGTAAATGATGACAATTTAAATTTTTGGGAGAACTATCCCGTTAATGTTAATAAAACAACAAAACAGAGGAAATCACTCACTGCTCTTGACTGAGAACATTAATAGAAGCTTTAATAAGCTTTTTTTGCACTTAAAAAAATTCAAATATATCGGTATCGGTATCGGCATGGGGCAAAATTAGTTTGAAAATATCGGCATATCGAATATCGGCCAAAATCCTATATCTTGCATCCCTAATAAATAATAAAGTAATTGAATTGAATTTAATATTTTATTTCAAATAGTTAAATAAATTGGAAAAATAGTTCAAACTGATTTTGCTGTGGTACCGAAATTGGTACAGAGAACCGTAAAATTTTAATGGTATCGGTACCGACTACTGGAATTTTGGTACCGTGACATCCCTAGTGCCCTGGTCGCAGTAGCACCTCATTGCAGTACACGAGATCCAGGGGGCGGAGTTGGATCCAGATCTAAGGGGTGGAGATGGGTAGGATTAGGGGTGGGGTTAGAGATCAGGGGGTGGAGATGGGTAGGATTAGGGGTGGGGTTAGGGATCAGGGGGTGGAGATGGGTAGGATTAGGGGTGGGGTTAGGGATCAGGGGGTGGAGATGGGTAGGATTAGGGGTGGGGTTGGGGATCAGGGGGCAGAGATGGGTAGGTTTAGGTATATGTAAGGTGGGAGGAGTTGGATCTGGATCCAACTCCTCCCCCTGGATTTCGTGTTCTGCAGTGAGGACCATCTCCCTGGTTGACAGCAGTACAGGCACAGTCTTTGACGGTAACGGCGCTCCTCTTTTGAAGAGATATGAGTAAAGCCGATCTGCATTGGTTCATTGTCAGAGGTGGTCGTGGCAGCGGAGGGCAGTGCAGAAGGATTCTTATTAGGACATCTCGAGCGGATCAAATTATCAATGCAAATTGCTAGTTCAATGAACTGGTCAAGATTCCTCTCTTAAATTTCAAATTATCATCCACCCACACTGTTTGAGCCGCGAGAGTGCGGAAGGTGAGCGCATACTCAGCTGGCGTCTTTCTCCCTTGTTGAAGAACCAGCAGTTGTTCTCCCGATTCCTTTCCCCCCTCTGAATGTTCGAAGATCTCACGAAATCTTTGCATAAAGCCGTCAAATGTGGGAAAGCAGAGTCGACTGCCGTGGCCCATTCTAATGCTTTCCCTGTTAGTAAAGAGCATACAAAGGCTATACGGCCTTCATCTGTGGGATATAATGTAGGTTGTTGGGAAAGGTGAGTTGCTAGAATACTTGCTTGAGTGGATACCTCGGTAGACAGACGATAGATAGCTACTGGATCGGGGTCTGGCGAATGGCAAGAACAAGACTTCATAGTGAGTGTGTGTATGACAAATAGTCCATGGGATGGGGATCAGGTGTGAGGGTAATCAGCACCAGGCACAGAATGATGGGAAACGTAGTCCGAGTCAAAGTTAGTACTCCGGTGAGGGAGCCCTCTGGTGGTGATCAGTGGGAGCCACAGAGGCTTGATTCGTGACACTAGGGTTTTTGCTGGTGATTTAAGGAATCAATCAAGGAAACTTTAAGCCTGAGTGTCAGAGGTTTGATTGACAGCATTAACTCTGTAGCGAGTGGTTAACCGTGTGTGTTTACCGTGTGTGTTTGTGCAGGACGCTCTCATTGATGGTGTTCACTCTGGTAAGCGGGGCCTCACTGTGTGGTGTGGCGGCCCTCGTGCTCCTCATCATCTCCACAGCAACAGACTATTGGATGCAGTATCGCTACTCAGGGAACGCAGCCAATCAGGGCCTCTGGAGGTTCTGCATCAATCGCAAGTGCCACGCCCACACACTCAACGTGGGTGAGGACAGTCAGCCGCATTACAACCGCTTGTGCAGATACACTACAGGACACTTCCAAAAGTGACAAATTATTATATATATTATATATTTTTTATTTCATTTTTGTAATCCGTATATATATATATATATATATATATATATATATATATATATATATATATATATATATATAAAAAAATTCAAAACATAATTTCATTTTATGTTCATTTTATGTTTTAAAATATTTTATGTTTAATTTATGTAAGTCAATATTGGAAGAATACTTAGTTCATAGTTCTATGTAAACTTAAGATATTTTAATTATTTGTATGTTTTTTTATCAAAACATAATTGTATTTCATATAATAATCTGTGTCTAATTGATTATATAAGTATTGGAAGAATAATTTTTTTTATATATATAAAAAAAATTCAAAACATACTTTCATATGTTCTTTGACAATAATTAACAAAAATTAAATAACAAAAATACATACTTTTAAGTAATCTTTATCTATCTGGGTTGGGCGATATTGGTAGAGAATCTGTTATTTTTTTCTTATTATATAATTTTAATTATTTTTATTTTTATAAAACAAGTTTCTATGATGATCCACAAAAATACCAAACAATCCATCATACATCAGTTGTTTTCATACAGCAGTTTATAGATTCCTGCGGGACCTCGAGTATCCCAGAATGCTCTGAACCTGTTAGTGTGTAAAGTGTGTGTTTCCGCCCCGCAGCATTCTGGGACGCCACGCGGGCCTTCATGCTGCTGTCGCTGCTGGGCTGTTTCGCTGGAGTCCTTCTGAGCGTCACTGCGTCTAAACGAGGCCGAAGCAAACGAGTGCGGGCCGGAGGAGTCGCTCTGCTTCTGTCCGGTGATGAAACATTACAACACTCATTAAAGATGACATTTCATTCAGTTAAAACCTCATCCTTCCCTCGCGGGTCAACATGACCCGAAGCCCTAAAATTATACTTATAAAGTTAAATTATAATTATAACTTAATTTTTTTGTCCAGAAAGCTTATTTTATTTCATGTTTATAATATTTTTAATGCAATTTTATGAACCGTTAAATTACTAGATTTAATCAATAAATAATAAAGAAGTAGTCATTTAAGCACATTCCTCACAACTTTAATTCAAAATAACCCACAATTTAATGCACAACCCTTTTAATTCATCTCAAAATATCTTACATTGGGTGTGCTTTCCAACCTCGTGTGGGGGGAAAAAAACATGATATTTCAGTTCACTTCAGTATGCATTCAGATACACATGTAGACATTATAAAGTTTTAGCATTTTTAGTTCGAATTTTGAGCATTTTTAGGTTTTTCTATGTGTACCGAAGCATTCCTCGCATTCCATTCATTACTTAGGGGGTCAAATTGACCCACGAGGGAAGGATTTGTTACTTTTTTTAATTAAAAAATTTGAAGAAAAAAAATTCCGGCTCAAAATGACCCGAGGGAAGGATGAGGGTTTTAAACTAAACGTGATTCTATGAGGTCAGGTTTGATTGGCAGCCGTGACGTGTCGTTTAGCAGTGATGTCATTGCTGTTTTCCCGCAGGATTTCTCGCGCTTTTGGCTCTGGCGATCTACACCGGGATGACCGTCAACTTCTTCGGGAGGCGCTACATCGGCTGGAGGTTCTCATGGTCTCATATTCTGGGATGGATCGGCACCATACTGGCTCTGGCAGCAGGTCAAATATCCATAAACAGAAAATGCTTTTTAAAAATCTAATTTAAAGAATAGATTTAAATAGATTAAATATTCAAATAAAATGTTGCACTCCCGTTTTTCGTGCAGTGTGAACTCGGCATAAGGTTATGTTTACACGAAAATAATTAAGTTTCTCCTATGCATTTTTTTGGGACAAGACGATTAATTTGATTGAGTGAATGCTTTATTGAATAACGGCCCCTTGGAGTGAAAATTCAAATGAATCATTGAATCAGAGTTTCATTTGTTTCACTTAATCGGCTCTTTTGAAATAACGAGTCGATTCAAACTGTTTGAAACCTTTAGGAATCGATTAATTAAATCACTCGGTTGAATGAATTGAACTGACCAACTCAAACCATTTTTGCTACTGAAGTTTACATTTCAAATGCAATTTGTAATTAAAAAATTTATAAAACGTCTCATATTTGTGATTTGAATGGTCAAAATGCATAAAACGTTTTCAGTTGGAAATGGTGTGTAAATGCCCCCTCATAGTTACGAATGAATAATTGAATCAAACTCATGAATTTTGTGAATCTACTCAACCGAATTGACTTGTTGATTCAAACGAACTGATTCCGTGAATCGTCTGTTTCCTGCCAACTACTTTTTAGTCGTTTCCGCAGATCCGTGTAAATGGGGATCATTTTGACAACATTGACGTCTATGCGAAAAATGCCAAAGACACACTTTCCTGTTTTTAGCACATGGTTGTTGTGTAAATCTCTGTCTTCTCTGTATTCCAGGAGTTCTGCAGCTCTGTGCTTATCAGAGAAGCTTCAGTGAAGCGACGCCTGTGTCTCTGACAGCTGATCCCTGATCATCACAAAACACTGAGCGCTGCAATCCTGGAGGAAATAAACTGCGTTTGGACTCTTTCTTGGTGCATGTTTTATTTTTCCAACAGAACAGATGGTGTTGTCTGTCCAACAGATGGCGTACAGACACAACACTATCTGATGAGGAATATCTTCAGCACACAGGCACTGATCAATATACAGAAACACATTAGTAAACATCGTTAACAAAGCTTTCAAAAGTACACACAAAACAAGTCAAGTCAAGTCAAGTCACCTTTATTTATATAGCGCTTTTTACAATACAGATTGTATCAAAGCGCTTCACAGTGATAACATGAAAACAATATAACAAAGTTTGTTTCTAAAAGAAATTGCGTCAACGTCCACCTTAAGTAAGGCAGATCAATAATATTATTGAATATTAAATGTTAAATGTCCCCAACTAAGCAAGCCAAAAGCCAAGGCAACAGTGGCAAGGAACCAAAACTCCATCAGGTGACAGAATGGAGAAAAAAACCTTGGGAGAAACCAGACTCAGTCCGGGGGCCAGTTCTCCTCTGGCCAACGAAGGAACAGTGCATGATTCGGGCAGCATTACAAGTCAGATTGGATCGGAACAAAACACCCCTGTATTACAGTATAAGTTTGTCTTTTTAATGAAGTTTATGCAAAAAGAAATGGGGAGATTTACAGCGTTTACACTAAATAATCTTCATTTTATATCCGTTTATACTTGATATTTAAATGTTATGTAAATAAACTTAAAAGTTTAATATTAAATGTGTATTATGAAATAAAACTAGTGTTAATATTGCTTTAATTTAATAAATGTTTGCTAAAATCAGTGTTTGATGAAACTGGCTGATATTGAAAATATAAAGATTATTATAAAATTTTCTTTAAAAAAAAAATATAATAATGGCATACCAAGTCAAAATTACACAGTTGTGGGTTGATCATTTATATTCATTAATACTGTTGTCAAATGTCACTGATATGTTCATCTTGTCATGTTTGTTAATACAAATTCAGTTTAACGCATTAAAAATGTTTAACGCAATTAACCTTTAAAATATAGCCTATGTTGTGTTTGCATTTTTTTGGATATTCAATGTTTTAAGTACAATATAAAAAATAATTAAAAACTAAATTACTATAAAAACTAATTAAAAAAATAATCGATTGACAATACTAATTCAAACACATTTTGATAATGCTAAGTCATCGTGAAACCTTCCTATAATCACATTCATGTTCTTCATTCCTAGTTTTATTAGCGCAGCACAATATCCACGATGTTTTTGTGGCAAAGTAATAACTGAAGCAGTCCAAAGCACAGTTCATACTGGAGACGCACATCGCGAAGTGAACGAAATTATGCGCGAAAAACTGCACGTCACAACTGTACTTATAAGCCTGCGCGATGTATTTAAACAAAAATCCGAAGTGAACGGGGAAAAAACACACGACGAACACAATCAGATTCGCCGCGATGATATACACGCACTGGAGTTTCTCGCCGCGGGATCCGATTTCCAACTGTTTCCTCAACGTGTAAATGACTCTAACGGAGCAAAACAGCATTATGAGGAACGGCACGAGGAACCCGACGATGTCCAGCACGAGAATAAACACCAGCGGTAATTCCTCTTCTTTATTCTTCTGAAAGCATTTGATCGTGTTGTTATGCTTCGGATCGTCGACGCGATGAAATGCCGCGCTAAACGAGCACGTGACCAACCAAATGAGCGCGCAAACAACCAGAGCCCTCCTACGTGATAAAACATCCCTGGATTTCATGGGATACTTGATGGCCACGTATCGCACCACACTTATCGCGGTGACGGTGAAGATGCTCACGTACATGTTGACGTAATAAACCGACACAAGTACGTAACACAGCTCTTTATTGCTGTGGTCCCAGAGTTCCCATGTGTTTTCATAGTAGGACACGATGCGGATGGGAAGAAGCACCAGCAGAACGCAGTCGGCGATGGCCATGTTGGTGATGTAGATGTTCATGTAAGTCCAGTCCGCTCTGGGACGCCGGCAGAACATCACTAGGACGTATATGTTTCCCAGGACCCCGAGGATGAAGGTGGGAATCAGAGAGGCGAGCTGAAGGCTCTGGATGCCAGCGCTGATGTTTAGAGTGCAGTTAGACATCTTCAACCTGTGGGATATTAAAATACACACTTTATAATTACACTTCTCTGACAGGAACATAGTGTCGGCCCACATCTGGAACATGTGGATTCGGGCCGACACTATGTTGCAGTCTGGGTTTGCATTGCGTTGAGTCAATGCAGTTTATGGTGATTTTTAGGATATTTTTGTTTCCTTCTTTATGATAAATACACAGTAAAAAACGTTGGGTTCTTTTTTTTTTAACCCAAGCGTTGGGTTACACATTGGGTCACTATATTGGGTTGTTTTCCAAAAATGTTGGCTCATTTTTAAAATCGTTGGGTAATTTCTAGTACTAACCTGGCTGTTGGGTTACATATGTTGTACACAATTATGTAGCTATATTTACCTTAAATTCTAGACTCCCCAATATTTAGTTTGTAATTTTAAAATATATTTGTTGAGACATATTTATTGTTTTATACATAAACAATCTGTATTTGAAAACAAAGTGTATTTTATTTATTAAAATGTCATAAAAATACATAGTTAACCTAACTGTTGTATTACTTTTAACCCAATGCATTGGGTTTAAAAAAATGGTTGGGAAGGTGCTGCTATACCACCCCATAGTTGGGTTACTCACTGGCTTATTTTAGTATTCAGCGAGTAGCTTTACTGTTTATCATAAGAGCCCTGCCACCAAAATTAATAAAAAAATGCTTCAAAAAGCCAAGATACGGTGCAAAAAAGTCTCTGTATAAGTTCTTGTTTTTAATATTTATAAGCTATATCACACAAGCAACAGTGCTGTTTTCCAGAATATCAACACTGTAAAAAATTATCGTGATTTTAACGGTAAAAGACTGTTAATTGGTTAACAGAAAGTGTCTGTACACTCTAAAAAAAAATGGTTCTTCAGCGGTTCTTCAGGGGTTCTTTGCGGTGGTCACCTACCATTTAAAGAACCTGTTAAGCCCAATTTGGTTCTTCAGTGGTTCTCTGGGGTGGTTAAGGTGCTCTATGGCACCTCTCAAGGTTCTACATAGCACCATTTGACAAAGATAAGTGCTATATGGCACTTAAAGTGGTTCCCCTATGATTACAAGCCAAGGAACCACTTTTAGTGCTATTTAGCACCATTTTTGTTTAGAGTGTACTATATACACGGTGAATAACTGGCCGTACATTTAATGTAATTTTACAGAAAAATACCATTAAATTTACCGTTTTTGGAAGTGAAAAAGAACAAGTCATTGTATAATTTACAGTGAAGACCCGTAAATTGCCCACAATTCACTGCGTAAGACTTCACATTTGATCTATTTTTGTTGAAATAACTATTTCTTCATAGTTTTTCTTAGTTTTTTATAATCAGTTATGTACATTATGGTTTTGTATTACAATTAATGTTGTTAAATTGTTTATTGCATTTTTAAAATTTCATGTGTGTTACCATGATGGTGTTTAGTGTTTGTGTGATTGACACTGTGCAGCTTCTATACATAAGTTATAACTTTCTCAGTTTGTGGAAAAGCTGCTTGTGATGAGCTTAGATTCATCATGTGACTCTCATCTCCACTGTGATTGGTGATTGTCAGTGTATTACAATGTTAGAAAACGGACATTAATTCTTCAATAGATCGGTAAATAAACGTTATGTCAGCAAACGAAATGCGTTTATTTACTGTAAATTTAAGTCAGTAGAACCTAAAATGATGGTACCATATTTTTTAGGGTTAATTTCTGGCAACCACGGCTGCCAGTTTTTACCGTACATTTAACAGATTTAATTTAACAGATTTCTTTTTACAGTTCACGTTTGCAAATGTGATATTGATTTTATAGAGTTAGAGTGAATGATTCAATGACTCACTCGTTAAGGATGATTTGCTGCCATGTACTGGCGGTTTCAGTATAATTTAATCTTAGCTAAGGGACGAAGATTAAATGATGTTTGTGGTTTGGTTTCGGTCGTGATTGTAACATTATCTCTATTATATTTACAATGTTATCTCATATATCACGCTTAATAGCCTAATTATGAACGCATTATCTCTTTAACCAGAGCTAACCCTAGTGAAAAAATTATACTTTATTGTATCTGAAAATATATTCCCTTTTTCAATACTACATTGCAAATATACTATTTACCTATTTTCACAATACAAATTGACCTCAACAAATGACTTGTCTGGCCTTAAAAATTCATAAAAACAAAAAAAAATTGTCGCCAGCTCCGTGTATCCATGTGAACTGGAATCATTTTGACAACGTTTTATCTGTACAGAGGTATTTTGTACAAAGTATAGCTAAGTATTATTTGTTTAATAATGTGCATTTGTTATTGAAGACAAAGTGTGCAATTCGTAGTAGCTATTTAGTAATGGCAAGTGCGCCGAGATAACATTTTTTTAAGTTTATGCTTGTATGTTTCGAAGACACTCGTAATGAATTTGTAATGTACTTGTAACACAAATAAAGTACACTATAATATAGCAAATATATTTAATATCACTAATCAAGCATGTAATTAGTCCCTACACAGGCATTTAGTGTACTTCTGTGTACTAAATTGGAAAAACTTCAAGTTTATACACTTAAAGTTATGATTTACTACAATTTAATTACAACTAAAAACTTAGTACAAAATTAGTTGTTTCAAAATAGCACACTTCAAGTTAACTAATCATTAACCCTCTGGGGTACTTCGGCCCAAATGGACCCGAAGCATTTAAATAAAAATATTTTTTAAATCATAGCTTTATCGGAATGGTCCGAAATTTGGTGACTTTGTTGGTACTTGGTATATGAACACCTCAAAAAATTGGGGACAGGATGTGAACAGTCTAAGTGGTTGTAAAAAAATAGTCACACTCAGGACCTTTGGGTCCAAATGGACCCGCATAGAAAATGAATGGGAAATTGGCAAAAATGTGAAAATACAGAGTTTTTTTGTGCGTACAATCTACAAATCAGCCACGATCCAGAAAAAAAGCACACAACAGTGAAGGGCTGAATCTATAAAACATCAAGAGTGCAAAACAGACACATCCACACACAGACACACAAACACACTTTTATACACATACACACTAATAAATTCAGATTACATATGGGTTTTGAATTTTTATAATGCTCAGTTTGTCCACCAGATGGCATCCAGCTCATTTAAAAAAATTGCTTTCATGAGGCCTAGGCTTGACTCTAAAATGAAATACAGCTTTAAAAAAAAAAAAATTCTATTATATTCAATGGGGAAAAAATGGGTCATAATTATTGCATTAATATTAATTATAAATCATTTTTATTTTTGAAATTATCTCAAAACACCAAAAAAGAAAAGAAAAAATATTATAAAAAACAAGTAAAAAAAAAAAAGATGATTTTTTAAAAATAAATATTAATCCCACCCTTCCGGCCCATTTGGACCCGAAGGTCCTGAGTGTGACTCTGAAATGAAGGACCCCAGAGGGTCTTGAAGTAGGCCTATAGGCCTATACTAAATTAGTCTGGCCGCAAGTATACTTAGCTTTTTTTTTCACCAGGGAAAGCAGCATTTCATACAATGTTTTTGAAAAGCAAAGCTTGTTAAATGTTTTTATCACACATTAAATGCATCAAATGTAATGTATTAAGCGCTATACACAAATAAACACACTCAGATGGAGCTATAGATCACATAGGCTAGCAAGTCTGCATTATTTCATACTTGTTTTGTGTTTCTTGTCAGCAAACATGTTGCTGTAGTTTCCTCTGCTGTAGTGTCGAATTACATTTACAACTCGGCCACAAACCGGTCTTGGTTGTACAATAGGTCTCGATTCTTTCTATATTATTAAAATCTGCCTAGCAATCATATTTGTTAAAAATGTAAAATTATTAACATGGTCACAGGTGGAGTTAAAATGCGAGAGAGCTAAACATTCAATATGCTATTTGTATTCTAAATGTGTTGCACTCACGCAATATAAAGTTTATGCAGACGTAGCCTATTGCAATACACATTATTACAATATAGGCCTATGTAATATAACATGAACATTAAGTGTCAATGAAAAAATACATTCAAATAAGTCAAACACACACAAAACACTTACCTTTTCACATGCTCAACTAGAGAGAAAACAATGAGATGTTTCTCTGCCAGTGGGGAAAACTCACTTTCCTTCCAAACAAAAGCAGAAGATTTTATTTTATGTAATGTAATGTATAGCTATTATGCACAAACGTATAAATACATTAAGACGGAGCTATAGATCACAAACTTTCTTTGTTGGTTCTGTAGTGCATCTTTTTACTTTCTCTCTGAGTGTTGTTTGACCGGTTTGTGACATCGTTTAGGCACGTTAACGAATCCGATAGTTCGTTCAAATGAACCGATTCGCTTGATCGCATAACCTAGGCATATCGTGGGAACGTCGACGAGGCATTTTAAGTGTTTGTTTTTTTAGGTTAAATACTGCCGTTCTCATGAACCAGTTGAGTTAAGATAGGCTGTTTCTGTTTAGTGGAATGCTGGCACTGACGAGATCCTGATGATGTGTTTCATTACGTAGTGTGTCACCAACAAACACACGAGTGATTTACAACCATGACCTAAATAATAATAATAGTACAGGAATCAAATAATTAAAGGATTAAAAGTGATTTAAGGGAATGAATAGCCTAAATAAAAGAGGTTCTACCTTTGGATTATATACAAATTTTGCTATTTTAAAATGTGCACACATTCAGTCTTATTATGCCTATATCCAAACGTTTCTTGTTTCGTCATGGCCTACATGAATGATGCATGTTATAATTCAAAATGGCGACATTTCATAAAAAGTTGAGAGTTTGCATCACTACAGTCTTGGTCTGCCGCTGAACATTTCTATCATAAACAGTTGTCTAATATACTTAAATACATGTGTGGTGTGATTGCACATTGACTCCACTAGAGGGTTCTTTTTTAATACTGTGGTTACCGGGAGTGAGTGATGTCCAGTCGGACCACAAGCCACTGGAGGCTATCTTCAAGACGCCACTGAGCAAAGCCCCAGCGAGTCTCCAACATCTGCTCTGACAGACACAGAGATATATGCCCTCATTGTCCAGTACACGCCAGGGAAGGATGAAGAAAATTTCCATTTAAAATCTCTTCCAACGGCTCTGCTCTATGGTTAGTTCCGACTGGAAATCACTCTAATATGATGATGTGATGCTAAACAAACATTTATGATTATTATCAATGTTGAAAACAGTTGTGCTGCTTCATATTTTTTCAGGATTATTTGATGAATAGAAAGTTAAAAAAAAAAAAACAGCATTTATTTGAAACAGAAATCATTACTCTCTCTTCTGGTCAATTGAATGCATCTTTACTGAATAAAAATATGATTTTTTTGTATTTATTTTATCTTATTGACCCCAAGCTTTTGAACAGTAGTGCAAAATATGTTTGAGGTCTATTTAACAATGAATACTGTAGAGAAAAAAAGAAAGAAAATGGTTTAAACTGTTACAATGGTTTACATAAAAATATTAATCAGCACCACTGTTTTCAACATTGATAATAATCAGAAATGTTTAGGATGTTTGCATTGTAAGAATGTATAGTGTTCAAATATAAAAAACGCTGACTCGTTAGGTCATGATTTCTCATTAAAATCAGATGATTTCCTATTAATTCAATAGAATGTGAGGAAATACCAATATGGCGGCACTGGGGCTTCACTTTATATGACGTCATGAGCAATCAAGTCATTTATATATCAAAGTCCACTAAAGGAGATTTCTTGCATTTTACTCCTAAACTCTGGAATAAGCACGAAGGTAGAAGAGTAGCAAAACTCGAGAGCATGTCGATGTGAACAGAGAACTTGTACAATAAATACTCATATGCTAAAACTTACATTCTCAGCTCCAATGTGAAAACCATAGACTGTAAAAAAATTGAAAACTGTTGAAAATCTGTAAAAGAAAATAAAAAAATCTGAAGTTGAATGTTGAGATTTGCACTCGCAGACAATAGGCCTAGTCACAAACCTGTATTCTGAATCTGAAGCTACAGACAAGTAGTCACAAATGTGTAAAATGTCATTCTCAAAAATACAATGACAGACACAAACTTGTAGAACACAGTTGCACTTATTCACGGTAGACAATTAGCTTCCTAATTTATGTCTTAATGCCTTTTGTAAGATTATTAAATTCACTTTTTGCTATTCTAAAATTACCAAATTAAATTTTTCTATTTAAAACCTGATAACTAAACCTCTTTTTTGTCAATTTTCTCACTATAAGGGTTAAATTATGGTCACTAACCCTGTAATCATATTAAAAGACTTAACTATATGATGTACAAAATGCTCTGTAACACACTAGCGAGGAACTCGTCCTTCGGTTGTTGAGGTGTACAATTCGCAGCAAGCGTCACCGGACATTCAGACCGGATATCATCGGCCCGGGATTTAGATGTACATCTCCTGAGAGTAATAACTGAGTCAACAGGATATCCACTCTGGCATGTTTGACATTCTTTCCTTGTCGTTTTATATGCTGGTTATGGTTATTTATTCCTTCATGTACAAGTATATTATTATAAAAAATATATATATATAATCCGTCTTAGATATGACGTTGATTTGATCAGTCTCTTACTCCACATGGACGGCCCTGATATATCGGGACATGGCCGCATCGTAACTGAAACTTTAACATACCTATATAGCCATTGTGATGTTCAACTAGCCTGGGAAAACCCAGACAACTTCAGGCAAATTTAGATTTGTTCTGAAAGTTAGTCTGGCAAAGAGCTCATTCAAGCCCATTTCCAATCCGCCGAAATCGCGGCACCAATCAGAAGCGTTGGGGCGGGCTTTACACGATGACGACAGCGCTGGGATTTTGAAGCAGATTTTGTAGCCTACATTACAAAGATGGATGCCGCCGTCGAACATCACTCGTTCGAATCAGCTATCGCGTCTGTTTTAAGCGATTTGAACGTTTCCTTTTTGTTAAAAACCGAGCAAAGAACAACACTCGGAGATGTTTCTCCGCCGCTCTGCATACGTCATCTCCTTCATCGCTCTGATTGGGTTTAGGTCTATCCGCGACGTCCGTTGGTGACGCCCCTCTGGAAATGATTTGTCTATGACGCTTTGCCAGACCATAACTCAGTTACAACTGAGAATGGTCTGGTTTTAACCAGGCTAATGTTCAACGCTTTTTAACTTATAGTAGTTAAGGTTTGATTTTTGATGATCAAGTGGCAGCAAGGGCACACCTGCCAGACTGCCCTCCGCCGTCTCCGACCAGTTGTGTTATCTGCCAATGCTCTTCATTGTATCTCTTCAATGCTCCACCTCCAAAACTCAGCAGATTGCCCAGCAGCCACATCACATTATTGGTGTAAATAACTCATTTCTGTTATTGGGTGACCTGCTCAATAAAAGCGCAAGACGAAGAACGTTTCAGGAAACATGTCAATGATAAGGGCTGGATTTCCCGAAACCTTCTTAACGCTACGTTGTTCTTAAGTTATACCTTAAGCGGAACCTTATCGTTAATCTGGGTTTCCCGAAACGTTCTTAGTTAAGTATACCTTCTGTAAGTCATACGTTCGGAAGGTTGGTAGGGATATGGCCGTAAGGATATTTCCCAACCGGTTAATCAAAGTGTGACAACACCAGTAATACCGGTATCAACAACGGGAGCTTTTAAAGTGTTAATTTCCGCACGGGGATTCATAATGGTGCGGAGCGTTTTCAATCAATTCCTACCATGGGTTCATAGACGCACCATTATTAATTTGCGTGCGGATGTGCGCATTTTAGTTTCGCTCGAGTGCGAGGTAAGAGATGAGAAGTCTTGAAAGAGACATTTACCTAGACTGTAAAAGAAATATGGACATAGTGTCCGTGACGTCACCCGTAGTGTTTTTGAAGAGCATTTTTGAAGCCCAAAGTGGGGCTTCAAATCTTGGGTCTCCATCTTGGCAGCGCGTCACTCTCAGATAAACGAAAATGTGCAGCGAGACGGATTAGCTGAGGAGACGTGTGGCTAACATACAGCAGACAAGCGGTTAGTAGTGACATCAGCGGCAATCCACCTGTCACTCAAGTGGCCACGCCCTTAATTATGCACAACTTTAAGGCTTAATATAATTTAAACGGATGAATTATAAAAACAATCACTCCCCTCACAGTCATCAAGAAGGGAAAAATTAGCTATATAGACCAAAACCACTTTTTGCACCAGGCTGTAAATATAAATATGGGCATATTAACATGGTGGTCTATGGGATTGACTCTCTTTTGGAGCCTGTCTCTACTAGTGGCCAGTCGATGGATTGCAGTTAACTAGTTTGTTTGCCCATCAAATCTTTAAGATATTAGGTTAAACTTATTTGGCTTGCTGTCCACTGGAGAGGGGCTTGATGAATCCAACGCAACTTTGAGGGGACCAAGAGAAACATGATTATGTATTTCTGCTCAGAAACACGACATCAACCACACGGCATATGCTAAACTTTTTATATGCTGTCTTTCTTTGTATAACAGTTCTATCTAATTAACGTGTTAGACAGATCGTAAACTAATGAACACGGAGAACGGGAATCCTGGAATGTTTTCCTCATTAAAAAATCTCTTTTCGCCTGAAGAAAGACAGACATTAATATCTTGGATGACATAGGGGTGAGTAAATTATCAGGAAATATAAATTCTGAAGTGAACTTATCATTTTCTCATGTAATGACTAATGAGACTTATTTTTATCACGGAAAGAGACAGAGCTGCCAAACTTCAGCCTTCGTGAGAATTCCTCTGGCTTTTTAGGACAGACCCCCTTGTAACTAGCAATTGCATTTTTTTGTGTGTGTTTTGGTAATAATAGATTTAAAGTTTGCTAAAAACCTATATTCATCTTGCATTATATCATATTTGTATACCAAGATATGTTACCCTATTTTTAGCGGCAATATCCTCAATTAAAGTAAGAGAGCAATTTTTAATTGGTAGCAATTCGCATTTATTAATATTGGATTTAATCCAGAGGCTTTAGAAAAGCCTGAAGAATACCCAAAGCCACTGGAAGATTTTGGGATTTTGACGTAATTTTTCCTCTATATAGTGGTGTTGATATGGCAACTAGCCTAGTAAATACTCTTAAACCATGCGTGTTACAGCTAGCCCCTCGTTAGG